TCATGCTTTTGTGCAACTATCATTCTCATCATCAACCGATTTCAATGGTCTTACTGTCAATAGTTCCCAATATTCTCATTTCAGCTGATTTCATTCTCATCAATATCATTTCTATAGCGCTATTCATTTGTTTGTGTCGACACATATTCATTTCCATTATTCCCCGTAATATATTGAGATATCTCATTATCAATTAATTTCATCGATAGTATATATATGCCTCCTTTCATCACTTATTTGGGAAACTTCAATTTGCACAATACCAACGCTTCCAGCGTATCTTTCCACTATCATATCACTTCATATATTTCACCACCATCAGTATCATTTAGTTTATGATTTGCACACTTTCAGTGATGCATATATCATTTTCAAAATTTCAATAATTGATTCTCCCCCTCATCTTAATAGATCTTTGATCTGTATTTTCAGTTTTGAGTTTCTTGAGGGGAGTTCATATAATCTCCATTTCGTTCTCGATTTCAACATATAATAGGAGGACTTTGAACTCATATCACTTGTAATGTGCACATTTTTCTTTCACGAGTTCACCATATGAGCTGATTATATTACTAGCTTCATCACTTTTATATGACACTTTCTTTCATAATCATCTCGTGTCATTCTTTGATCAAACAATCTCGTAACTTCAGGTTACATGTCATATACACATTCTTTGATCAAATCATATCGTAACTTCAGGTTGCGAATCACACATGTGGCTATCTAGTGGATCCATAATATCTTGTAGCACACATGGAGGGGTAGTGGGCCCATATATATCGTACCCCTTTCATACTCAGTTTGATCAAATATCGATTCACAAATATTTAGCTAGTAATAATTTCACCAATCGAGAACAAAACATCTCATAATCAGTTAATTATGCAAATCATCATCATTTATATCAGTAAACATCACAATAATTCATTGTGACCCATTAAACATATCACATCATCTTTCGGCGGCAATAAATGCACTTCAAGTGCAGATTATGACCCACAATATTTAAGTTCAGAACCGTATCACATGCGTATCAATCTTTTTGTCAGACAGACTCTTTGTTTTTAGAGTCGTATAGCATACGCATCATTTCTATAAATTATCATACATTCCATTTAATCTTTACGAACAAAGGTCCGAATTTACATATGGATTTGGCACTCTCAAATATCCGTAAATATTATTCTTGTGTTCCAGTAAATATCATAAAAAGAATTTATCGGTCTCGAATAGAAAGATTGAGGGTGCTAATGATTAATGATATTCCAGGCGATATTCGATGGTTGATTGAAGCAAAAGTTCGATTGTCGGGAGAGTTTCCAAAAATCATACAAATATATGTCAGGTATGGGTAAGAGTACTTTTGCAAAGAAACGAAGAGCAAAATGAATAGGTGGATGCTACAAATGTGCTCGATGGACTTGTGACACACGATGTAAATCTGTG